GGCTGGGTACCCTGAGAACAACTGGTCTGACTATTAAAGACTGAGGCAAAGAAGGCATTAAGTACCTCAGCCTTTTCCTCATCCTTTGTCGCCATGTTTTGCCCCGCATCCAATAAAGGATGGAGATTCTCCTTAGCCCTCCTTTTGTTGCTCATGTATTTATAGAAACATTTTTTATTGTCTTTTATGGCAGCAGGCATATTGAGTTCTAGTTGGGTTTTAGCCCTTCTAATTTCCTCCCTGCATAACCTCACGACATCCTTGTAGTCCTCCTGGATTGCCTGCCCCTTCTTCCAAAGGTCATAAACTCTCCTTTTTCTCCTGAGTTCCAGCCAAAGCCCTCTGTTCAGCCAGGCCGGTATTATTCCTCACTGACTCATCTTTCAGCACATGTAAGACCAATAACAATAATTTTCTGATAGCAAGAATTGTCTGCTGCCTTGACTTTCGATCATGACATGCAGTTAGTTGAGCTTGAAAACTGGGTGCACGGATGAACACATTAAGGCCTCTGGCCTTTCTTTATTCACTAGAAATCTGACTTCATACTGTGCTGAGCAGGTCTAAAAGCTCTTCTTGAGCTCACAGGATCTATAATTATGTAGAGAATGTTATCAGCAGTGTATAAACAGTATAAACTGTGCTTTTACTCCAAAACTTATGAATATATATAACAGTGATTTTAGAGTTTGTTAACAGGCTGATAGATCCTATTTGGTCAAGTTAATTTCTTTTATTCTTGTTTATTTTTTCTACTGACACTATGTCAGCAACACAGCCAATACTTTAAAGTTAAAAACTAAGCTAAGACATGATTTATGACTTATGCTTGTATCCATATCTTTTTGTTCTAGACAATATTAGTATGGAAACAAAATTACAATGGAGTTTATCTGCTCTCTCCAAACAAGGTAAGTCTGAATTTACTTATGAATCCTAATAACTGGTTTTAGCTCTGTTTTCAGATAGTGTACAAGGTATCTTGAGATTAAAATGAATACTTTTCATTCAAATTACTGAAGAGCAGGCAGTCAATAGAACCAATACATTTTCAGTTAAGCTACTGGGTAGATAAGAATCCAAAAACGTCAGGTAACAATCCTGATCCTGTTAAATTTACAGAGGCAAATCTTATCCCATATACATTTTAGGGTCAGAATTATGTAGATCTTTTTGGAAGTTTATAGCATAGGCTAGAAATGCCTAAACTAGCTTTAAAAGCACAGAAATGCCATTTATATTCTTTTCTCCAATACTTATTACGTAGCCTAGCATGAGACTACATGCCAGAGATTTCAGCAGTTTCAGGTATCCACTAGCCACTAGCTTCCAGAAACTTTTGAAACATACCATGAAGAAACTTCCACCTTGCCAGTTTTCACTTTCTTCTCCCTTATTTATCTGGCAGGGGCAGAAACTTGCAGGAGGGCTGCTTATGAGGGCCAAGCAGTGGAAGGGGGAAGTATGAAGATCACACAATAGGCTTAAAAGAGACAATGCTGGAAGAGCTGGATCAGACTTTTGGGGAGTCAAACTTGTTTTCAATGGGAACATTGCAGGCAGGATGACTACCAATCATCACTTGAGAAAGGTTTTCTTGTGATTTCCTTTTAAAACCTGTTATTCTTTTTAGCATACACAGCAAACAGAACCTGTTTGGATGTGAACAAGGAGTGTGTTGAAGATGAAGTGTGTAACAAACAGTTGTCCCTGTACCTTAAGGTTTGCTCAGTAAATAAAAAGTGCAACATGGAAGAATGCCAAGCAGCCATAAGGTTCTTCTATCAAAACATGCCTTTTGAAGTTGCCCAAATGATGGCGTTTTGTGATTGTATCCAGCCTGATGAATCCTGCCACAGAGCCAAAGAACTTCTCCATGGCAAGCCCTGTGCAGTTACTGCAGTTCCACCCCCATCATGTCTGAATGTAATCCACAAGTGTGAAGAGAATGAGTTATGCAGGTAAGTAGAAGAAAGATTTTGCCTAGTAATGTGCCTGTGAATAAGGATTTGATCCAATAATTTGTATATATATGCCATATATCTCATCTATAGCAAAATTTTTTTCTGCACTGTATCTATTTTATATTATCACTTGTGTTTGACATCTTTACAGACGTCTGCATCAGCTGTGGTAATTCCACAACTAATTCCACAAGTAAACTGAAAAGGTTCATTTCTAGAAAGGTCTGGAATCTAGTGTGGGCTTTACTTCTGCCTCTTTCATGACTCTTAACACTATTTTTGCTGAACAAACTATGCCGTTGTGTATTTTCATTACCACTTTCTTCAGATAACGCCTGCCAGTCTGCACCTTTGCCCTCTAGCAGTTTGCACAAATTGTGCGGCAGACCGGACAAAGTTTGTTTGGTTAAAGTAATTGCCTCTTCCACTGCAGAGTCTGACCCTTTGTACCCAACAGCCATACAACCAACTTGGCCCGTTCAGAAAATTTTCATCTTATTCTTTTCATCTCAAGCCTACTGATACATGAAAAAAGCTGCCCTGAAACATGCACAAACCACCAAACTCATGAAGAATAATACAGTTTTCAGATTTGATTTTATTGTTAGAAAACACGCAACAGGATTAGCCCATATTTGTTGTTCTACTTAATTGCCAGCATTTGTAGATGGTCAATTGGCCCATTTTGGTTTTCAGTGTAGTCACCAGTTCCCTTGTGGATTAGACCTGAATTTTACCTCAAAGCTGTGCTCAAATTAACCTTCAGTCAACAAAACAGGAGGCCAAGAGACGCTTTCAGTTCTCTGCAGGCTATTCAGATTGACGTCAGTGGGAATTGCCCCTTTTTATGTCAAGAAGAATTGGGCTACAAATTTATGTCTGTGCATGTGCATGTGTACACATGTAATATCATAATGGAGACTTGCTGAATTACCCATTATTCTGGGAACATTAATGTTTCCTGGTACTGACAATAAGTGGCTATAATTAGCAAAATTAGTCTGTAAATTATGGCTAGCCATATCTATAAATCAGGAGGTGAATAAAAATAATTCCATTAGCACAGAGGTGGCACCTCCTTTGAAACCTTGGCTTGTGTAATGAAAATACTTACAGTAACGTCCTAGCCAGTATTGTTACAGTCCATGCTTTTCCATGTGACCTGCTTGTAACAGCTACACAATATCAACAGTAAATTAATAACTTAATTTTATGATTAAGGAAAAAATGTTTTAATATATTAATGTACAATAAACAACAGTTTACCTTTATCATCCCCCAACTTTTAATGTAAGTGATAAATTAGTTTCTAATTAATACCTACAGATTAATAACTCCACAAAAAATCTCCACAGGTGCTGATTAGACATGCAGTTGCTTTTTCTCAAAAACTTTTTCAGTAAAGCCAAGTTTTTCACTCAAAACAATTAGGTGCAAATCAGCACAGAATTTAGGCCAGCTATCACTGAATATTGTGATTTTTAAGGCTTAAGTGGTACCTTGGGAATACACTCTCTTTTCATGATGATCCTTCAGTGTCTTTTTGTGAAATTACAGAGTTTTTAAACTGTCATTATATACTGCTTTTTTTTCCACCAGGAAAAAATACACAACTTTTCAGTCAAAGTGTTGGAGACACGTGACAAAAAAATGCTACGATGATGAAGCTTGTCTTGAAACTTTAATCAAGGATGACATGCCCTGTTCTGCAAATGCTGATTGCAAAGCAGCCTACATTAGTAACTGGGGCACGATGCTGCGTGTGGAGTGTACCTGCCAGAATTTGCCTGCTGCAGAGAAATCTTTGTGCGAGCTCTTCCATCACATGCTTCACAGCAAATCCTGCTTCAGTGAGTTACGTAAGTAACACATAAAATATTCTTTAAAGAATAATTAATTTTAAAGAGTATTAAAATGCTGACTTACACCAAATCTTTACTATATCTTTGCTACCATTGATTTCAGCAAGATTTATATCTCCGTTTTTTTTTAATCCAAATCAAAATACAAATTGCATGTTCAGGTTTTTCCTCTGGTTTTGGGAAATATTTATACTAGTAGTAAATCAATAAAATTGACTACATGTCTCGTTACATGGATTTGCTGGAATAACAATAAAAGAGTAAGTTCTGGGATCTATACTATTACGCAGATTAGAAGAGTCCAAAGCCTTCCTGTCATTGGCTTAATGTACTTTGGTACACTGTTTTTACAAATAATGTGACATATTATGTTGTTTTTTCCTTCTTTTCTTCTTGGAGTCTAGATATTAGTATAGCTTACACACATTTAGCAACAGGCTTCATTCCACAGAAAATAACTTCAAATATTTAAATAGGACCTCTCAAAAAAAACCTGCTGTGAATGGAGGCTTCAGGATCTGACCTTCAGTAAAAACATGGGGGTTAACTCAGATGAAATGTATGTACTTTCTCAGAACCAGTAACGCCTTTCATGTGCTAAATTGGCTACTTATTTGCCAAGTCTTTATTTAAGAGAGAATTGTTAGTGCAATGAATGACAATATAGGAACAAATATTAATGTTTTAGTCTGAATTGGGAGTGTGCCTTTGAAGCAAGTACTGTTTGTCCCCGCTTATTGTGCTGTGGGTCACATCACAGGGTGGTTCCACATCACAGGGTGGTTCCTGGACTCCTGCAGCCTAAAACAGAACCTGAAGGTTCATCTGCTGCCTCTGCAACACTCCAGCTACATCCAGGCATCCAGCCCATGGACCAGATTAAAGACCAAAGTACCCCCTTCTCAAATCTCTGATCTATCACATCAGCTATTTTGCTATATAAATCCTCTTACTACTTGCTAATGCATCATACCCCATGACAGTCAGCTTCTATATGTAATTATAGATATTCTCAACCTAGCCTGGGAGAGGTAACTATATCGAAAGATTTCAATGAAAAGCAATGACTATTTCATAGTTCCATCTGACAGACTGTCTATTAAAAGCATGTATTAATTGCATGCATGCATTTCATTGAATGAATTAGCTAATTTTTTAGTTTTAGTGGCCAAAATTTTACCACTGACAAGGGTGTAATTTTTTTCTTGTCACTCAAAGTCTACCCAGGAAATTAAAATCAAGTTGCTGAAACACTGCCCTTAAGCTTAGTTAATCACTACTAAAATTCAGACTCTGAGAAAAGATTAAAAATCATATAACAACTCCCCTGGAAAAGTGATACCGTAACACACTTAGATTTGAGATTACTGGTGGTGATTTTGCTGATGAATGTTATTTATTTGTTTGCTTGCTTTACGGCTGCATTTAGTGGTCCAAATGAGTGATCACATCATTGTGTTAGTTATTCTTTACCTACAAAGCAAAAAGATGACACTCATGTCATAATAATCAAATAATTGCTCCTGAGTTTTTGCCATTCCCTGAAGCAGTCTCAGGATGAAATAATGTTTTTTTTGTGATGGAAACTTCCCTAACCTAATTGTGGTGCAATGAATTCCTGCTAGTTAAACAAAAACCATTTGGGGATCCAGGGCCTTTGGCTGAGTAAAGGATTGGCACCTACTCTACAGAACATTTGCAGAGTCTAGTGAATCTTGCTTTTGTTTTTTCTAGATGTCTAGTTGTAATGCAGCTAAACTGAAGAGAGATGATTATGGGTTTGATTGTAAGGCACAGTGTTAAATGGCATTATCTGCATGGCAGTTCAGAGACTGAGTGAGTGGAGTGGAGATGGAGTGAGTGCTCTGTTGCAGACTTCATTCAGCCCCTTCTGCTAACTCATTCATCTCGCTTGGGTGTGAACTTTGGATAATTTTCACGCTTACAGTGGTGATGATTTTTAACATTGAAGTCTTTCTGAATAGGCAAATACCCAGGGCTAGCAAAAGGGATCTTTGCCTCTAGAACTGGTGTGAACAGACCTGCAAAAGTGGTGTTTACACCATCACATCTTCCTACTCTTGTATGGCACTGACTTGCTACAAGCTCTTGGGGCTGTGCTTACAGGATTAAAGCTTGCTGCAGACTCAGTAAAAGGCAAGAACTGTGAGTAACTGGCTGCTATACGAGACACAGCGTGGATCAGTGCCAATGTAGGATCAGTGTAACAACAGGAATAAGCAAAAATGCCAGTGAGAGAAAGTAAAAAGTTTCCAAAATATTTTAACTCTGGGTTGTATTTTTGGATCTCACAGAAATAATACATTACAAGGAGATTTAGTCCGTTGCTGTTTAGACAATGTTCCAGGCTGCAAACATGAGCCTTTGTCATATTGTTTTCATGCCTCTAGGGAATAAAAAATTTCTCAGCGTACAGTTCATGTGAGTGACCGTGCATAGTCTTGTATGGTTTAGCCCCTTACTATGTGAACTGTTCTACTTAGGTAGACCTTTTATTTTTCATTTCAACACAAGATATCTATTTTCAGATACATTCATGAAATTATGCCTACTAAGAGGCCAGGCCTTTGTGAAAGAGTTGATTGAGGTCTAGCAATTCATTTGGAGAATAAGCTCTGCTTTTTGGAAATTACTTCAACCTACTACCCATTTCTCATCACTTCTATATTGGTTTGGTGGGCCCAATTCTTTTGGTGGACCTATTTCTGAAATAGTTTATGTGAAAAGAGAATTTAAGCTGTTTTGAGGCAGGGAATATTTTTAAAGCACACTTGTTCCCCACAAGACAAGCTACAGGGGAGGTTTAACTGAGATGTCAAAGGAAGAACTGTCATTTGCTCATTCACTTTGTTCATTGAGTATCAGTAAACAATATTTTTAAATATCTGCCTTTATAAATTCTGTGACTCTTATTAAAATACCAAAAAGAGCAATGTTCACTTAAATTATTATTTTAAAGCAATATTTTGGATGGATATTTTGTTTCCAATATTCAGGTCAAATTTCCATTAAGAAGAAAGGTTTTCATTGGGTAAATACAGAAATGCCAGGAGAAAAGCTTTCCAGAGCACAGCTCCATTCTCCTTCAACTAATGGTGAGTTTGGGCAAACTACTCCATGATTTTAATAGAAATACTCTTGAAATTTCCCTCATGTATGATACGAAAGATTAAAGGTTGGCTCCCTTGGGTGGGTACAGGCAAGTGAGCTCTACCTGTTGCTCCCCCATTCAACATAATGTGGAAAATTCTCTCTACCTGTTTGGCTTAGCTTATATAACCACAAAATAAAGATAATGAGACTAAACCAATTTCTCTGATAAGTGGTTTTGAAATACATGTCTCACAACCACTATATTATAATTGGGGAAAATTAAGCTATTAAGCCCGCCAGAGCTTGACTCTCCATACAGTCATTAGAGAGTAGTAGTCATAATGTGTAATACAAATTATTAGCTTTGATGTCACACCTACTTCTCCCCTATCTCTTGACTTTTTGTGCATAGTAGTTGCAACAACGAAATTAGGAACCCACAGTAAGTGGTCTGAGAAGGGGCTTGTGTTACACTCCATCAGACTTTACCTTCTCATGCAACAGAAGGGCACGTAATTGTGGATCATGATATCCCATGGGCTGAAGAGCTGCATCTGGTTTTATTTCCATGCATTTACAGTAAGCAATTAAGTCACATAAAGTTAAAGGATATTGAATTAATATACAAATTTTCTCATGGTTGAAATAATATTAATTTTATGTTTCCTTTTGAAGGACCCAGTTACAGAGGGAGAACACTAAAGAGCTTAATGCACAAATATCGACTCTAATGAGAATGACCTGTTCTACCTTGCATGGGGCAGATTACAATACTGCAGACATTACTATGAATTAGTTCTCAGAACTGAACACCTTTAGCAGTGAAAAAATAATTCAGGCTCTGCATGCAATACAAAATGAAGGGACTTCTGTCATCTCCATCCTTCAACTATTGCTGAAGTGGGCAACCTGGGAAGTATAAACATAGATTCATGGGAATGGGATTCCTGAGACCTATATGTCAATAAATAAGCATTCAGCTGTAATTTTAGCATTAAAATTACTTAAGAATCATGCATGCCATCCAAGTGCTCTGTGTAGCCGGAGAAGAAAGTCAGGGACCCTCAGAGAAAGATTAATCCCACCTCTTCAGACTGTCTTTGCTGGAAGTGTTGGCTTCTCTTTGCCAACTACAGAGGGAGCCTGAATCACTAGCTGGAACGAGACTCTAGTGGTTAAATAATGCAAGTTATAATGCAAGAAATCCTGCTCTATGTGAGAAAATGTAAAATAGGAGATATTTCACCCCTGTGAGTAGTTCCAACTGCAGACCCTTTCAGTGGGCAAAATGTATTACACGTTTCCCTCAGAGACTCAGATAAATGTTTGCAAAAAGCAGCCTGCACCTAGTTAATTCTGTTCCCACTGAAGTCTGAATACTTTCCAAAAACCTGTCCTTGAACTCTTAACAGAATTTTGGATGGCCTTAAAGAGGCCATCATAAAAAGAATGCTGACCAGCCTAAACCATACAATAAAATATTCCTTCTATTGGAGCTGTCATGTGCACTAGATGAGAACTCTCTAAGCTATAAATGTCTCATAGGAAGCCAGGTCAAGGAGAAGAATCTGATTCAGGATATCTACCTGATGATAAAAAACATATTTCAAATTGTTTCATAAATCCCGCTGTGAAAACTCTAACTTGGTATCCTACATTCACATGCTAGTAAATGTGCATTACTCAGGCTGCAAAGGGAGTTATCATCTCTGCAAAATATTTATCTTTACTGAAATCAAATCCCAAGAAGAATCCCAGGGCGCAGAGGCAAAATGGTTAAGTTGTCAAATATGGCCTTTGGTGTGTGTGAAGATATTTGAAGATATTTGCTTCTTGGCTATTTTCTGCTTGGAAAGCAGGAGATACAATTTGCCAATGTCTTTTCCCTGTA